CTCTCCCCCTCTCTCTCTCCCTCTCTCTCCCTCTCTCTCCCTCTCCCTCTCTCCCTCCCTCCCTCCCTCAGGTGAAGTATGTTCAGGCAAGTCCACATTGATTGATAGATTGTGCAGTGTATCAAGAAGAGGTGGAAAGCGTTCATCTTCCTCTCATAACAAGAAGTACCTCTTATCAGGCTGCAGTTTAGAGTATCGACCAGTTGATGTCTATGATGATGAAACTGATGGTAAGTGAGAGAGAGAGGGAGGGAGAAAGGAGAGAGAGAGAGAGAGAGAGAGAGGGAGAGGGAGGGAGGGGGAGAGGGGGAGAGAGAGGGGGGAGAAAGGGAGAGGAAACCTGTCTATTTTATGTAGCCTTACATGCAGTGTTAGTAATTACTATAATGTGAATACTTACATGTACTGTCTAGTGTTACTCTTTCCCAGTAATGTAATTAAACTTATTCCTGCACTTATGCGCTGCATGTGTAGTTCTGACACATGGAAATTGATTTTTATTAGATTTCCTGATACATATTGATGCCCTTATGTTGTATAGAAAGTTTGAGCTGATTCCGACTTCAATTTTTCAATTTACGGCCATTTTTTAAAAACGGCCTAAATCTTATAAATACCCAAGGCTATAGCCCATGGTTTTTTCTAAAAAAATGGCTCCGAAATCACCCCAAATTTTTATTACATTTTCTGATGCATATTGATGTCCTTATGCTGTGTAGAAAGTTTGAGCCGATTCCGACTTTGATTTTTCAAGTTACGGCCATCTAAAATTACACAATATCTTAATATTCTATTATTATTTAGTGTAAATGTACATGTATATACAATATTGATTTGCTGTAGTAAACATATTGATACTTATTGATTATGTAATGTATACTCATCATGAGTTAGTCTAAGTTGTTTAGTTGTAAGTTGTACTCATTCTGGTCTCCTCTGGGGTTAGGTGATGTTTGTAAAGCTCTTAAATCAATGTTTGATTGGAATTTTACAATCAATTAGGAGATCCTGTGGAGATTTCAAGCTTATTGTTATTTAATTAAGTATTTTAATTAGTTGTACGAGTAATAATGGAAAAAAGAGATCAGAGAGAGAGAGAGAGATGGTATATACATGTACATGTATAACTTGTCTCCAATCCTGTGTTAGTTAGAGACTAGCCTCTATATAATGGACACTTTGGATCAAGAAAGTGTCTCTGTTATACAGAGGTGTCCTTTATGTGGAGGTTATTTTATACAGTAAGGAATGTAATTGGTACACTAGGTGCTGTCCGTTAAATGGAGGTGTACGCTATAGAGAGTGTCCATTAAGAGAGGGTGAAGTGCATTTTAAAATACTTAAGTAAAATACAAGTTCTTTACAGTGGTACTTAAGTACAAGTACATTAACTCTCCCAATATCCTTCAGCTACTTACATGTATATAGATACTGGCCTAGTGAGGACAATGGTGGCTTTGTTTGAATGTGTACACGTGATCTGAACATCTTTAGAATGAGATTGGACATAAATCAAGATGATAGATTCATGGAAGCATGATA